AAAAAAAAGTGTGGCAAAGGGAAGCTTACACCCAGCTCACTCAGCCTTTTCTTTAGCTATTGAGCTGGTTTATGTTGTTGCGCTGACTTTTTCATTGACATCAGAACTGTGGTTTCATTATGGACCAAGGACCAGCAGTGCACATAGTAAGAACTATTGAGGCACCCAGCCTTGTGGACTGAGTTGTCAGCCTTTCCAGTAAGAGACGTCTACTGTGACACCACTGTGAAAATTAAGACACTCATACTCAAGGACAGAGTAACTACTGGAATCAGCCTCTCAGGCATGATTCACCTACTGTAGCCATTTCAGCCGAAGTTGCTTAATAACTTCTTATAACACTCATATGTATGAACGTACACACACACACTCACACACACACACTGTCTTTCTATTGGTTCTGTTCTTTAGAACCCTGACTGATGCAGTGGCACATGGCTTAGCAATGGGGAGGTAGAGGCAGGCAGGTGAATCAGAAGTTCAAGGCAACCCTTGCCTATAGTTTAAAGCCAATCCGAGATTCATGAAATCCTACCAAAAATAAAAAGAAAGAAAGAAATAGAAGAAAAAGAAAGGCACCCTTATATCAGGTAGCCTGTAATCCCAACACTCACGAGACTGAGACTAGAGACTTGCCATGGGTTTAAGAACAGACTGGGCTACATGGTGAGGTGTAGATCAGTTGGTGGGTGCTTGCTTAGCATGAGAGAAAAGAATTTGATCCCTAACTGATACTGGGCATTGTGATACACAACTGTTATTCTAGCACTTGGGAGGTGGCTGTAGGAGTATCAGAAGGTGAAGTCTATCCAGTACATAGACAAGTCCAGCTTGGGTAAGGTAAGGCAGTATACACACCTCCCCAACACACACACACACACACACACACACACACACACACACACACACACACACACACACACACACACACAGTTCAACTGTAGGGCAAAAGAGGCAGGGAAAGAACACCTTTACCCTGACTTGTCCTGGATACCAGGTCCAAGGAACAACACCCTGAGCTTGACTTGACCCCAAGCCCAAGGAGAGGACAAAGGAACAACACCCTGCTCCCGGCTTGACCCCAAGTTCCGAAACTTGGAACCCACCTCCCCCACTCAATGTTAATGACCAAATAGTGTTTCCTATCCTTCCATACTTTCTCGCCAAGCTCATTGCACATGCTCCAAAAAACCCTGTAAAAGCCTTCCCTTTCATCAAGCCCTCTGCTGTCTCTCTTCCTGGTCAGAGGCAGCCACCACTCTGTTTTTCTCCCCCATAAATCTCTTGTGTGAGTTTTGTTGCGTGGTGTGGCTTTGTGGTACTCGTAGGCTCTGGACTGCCAAGATGCCCTTGCCCTAGGAAAACCGTCTCCGCCTACAACCATACCCACACCTGACCAGGTATGGGAACAGGCAGTGCTGTGGAGGCTGGGCCTGGAATTTCATTTCAATAGCACTCAGGCAGTTAAGAAACAGTTTTTCCCCCTTCTTTCTTTAATTAAATTAATTAATTGCAACGATCAATGGTGGCGCACACCTTTAACCCCAGCACTTGGGAGGTAGAGACAGGAAGATCTCTGTGAGTTTGAGGCCAGCCCTGTTTACTGAGTGACTTCCAGGACAGCCTCCAAAGCTACAGATAAGCCTTGTCTAAATAAAAAAGTAAATAATTGCTTAATCAATTAATTATTGATTTTTTTTGAGACAGGGTTTCTCTGTTTAACAGCCCTCCCTGGCTCAGCCGATCTGTGTCCCCGGGAGCTAAGGAACAAGAGTGGCACTGGTGACTTTGAGTGGGAGTCATCCTGACAGTGGCAACAGCTGTGATGGTTCCGAAAGTCTTCTCCTCCCTCCCAGCTGAGGTGTCCTGCCACATGGACAGTGGGGATGCAAAGTCTTCAGCCAGTCAGAGCATACAGGCTGTACAAGGCAGATGAAAGTGAGAACCAGGGCCGGAAGTTTTGTAATTTGTGGGTTCTGCTCTAGGTGTCTGGTTCCTTGCTGCCTGTGTGTCAGTTTGTGTAGGGTAAAAGGTTCAAACTCACTCTGGGTTTGAAAACCCATCAAAACCCACCAATCCCTGAGTTCAAAATTTCACCAATCTCTGGGTTTGCCCCAAGTTCCAGACTTGAAATCCCACCAATCCTAACCCTGGAAAACTCTGCCTGCAAGAAACCCTTTGTAAGACTGACTCCTGGGGCTGGAGAGATGGCTCAGTGGTTAAGAGTGCTGCCTGCTCTTCCAGAGGTCCTGAGTTCAATTCCCAGCAACCACATGGTGGCTCACAACCATCTGTAATGAGATCTGGTGCCTACTTCTGGCCTGTGTTCACAATAAATACATTAAAAAATGTCTCCTCAGCCTGGTGTTGGTGGCACATGCCTTTAATCCCAGCACTCAGGAGGCAGAGGCAGGCGGATCTCTGTGAGTTTGAGACCAGCCTGGACTACCAAGCGAGTTCCAGGACAGCCTCCAAAGCCACAGAGAAACCCTGTCTCGAAAAAAAAAAAAAAAGTCTCCTGCTCAGTTTCTTTGCTTCTTCATTCTCCAGCAGAGGCAGGCATTCTCTTGTGTCTCTTCCAACAAATCTCATGTGAGGTTTGTTGTGTGACGTGACTTTTTGGCATTCTTGACTATCAACTGCCAGAATACCTTTCCTCTCCAGACCAACGACGCTTCCACTGGGGAAGTTCCCCTCAGAGGTGTTACATTCACAGTCTGTGACTCCCTCAGATTGTGGGCTGAGCAGGAAGAACATGCAGATCCTCAAATGACTGTGTGGGGCTTTCAGAGATGTAGAATGGCTGGAGTTGGCTGCGGACAGTGTGCAGACAGCCCTTATTGCCCTGGGGTGTGTAGCTTCATGGCCTTGTCTGGCCTACAGCTCTGGATATCTGTTTTGTAGCAGTTTCCTCCTAGGTCGAAAAATTCTGTCCTGAAGGGTAGCAATTTAAATCAGGAGAGGAAGAACTCAAATAACTTCAGAAAGCCCATGGAACTGATTAGATCCACTTGGTCACTGCTTCCCAAGAGTAAACAATAAACCTGCCAAGAGTCACTCTCAGACAAGCCAAAATGGAGACAGACCAGACCTGCCAGCCACCGGGAAGAAACAGCAACTGGTATAGCTTCCTGGAAGAGGTTTAGACCAACAGAGGCACTTAGAAAGAATGGATATTGCCCAACCTCTTCAGTTGCTTACAGGCTGTACAGCGTGTTCCAGATTCCCAGCTGGGGTGGGCTTTGGTTATGCAGTTGTCTGTGAGTCATTTCTGCTCTGGTCAGTAACCTGTACTTCTGTAAGCAACTGCAATTAAACTCATTGGTTCACCAAGTAGGACTTACGTGGTATCCATTCTTTCTGCACTCCCTGTCTGGGGTTAAGTAGGCATGAGTATTGCATCTCCCCAGGAATTAACACCTCTGTCATATGACACCTTTGTCTCTGTCTCCTGGCATCACAGGGCTGTGCCACCACCACCAGTTTTCATTTCATTTAACGATTCATGGGTACATGAAATGTGATTCAAATGGGAAGTTAATTCTGTCAATGTACATTTTCAAAATTATTCTTTGATTAAGATGAAAACTTTGCTGTTTGTTGATTTTTGGTTACTGGCCTCAGGGGCAGGTTCTGGATCACATCCATATTTTGCATGTTCTATCTTTGTTTCTAATGGAAAACAATCCTTTCCATTGCAGCATAATGCTTATTAATTTTGCATGCTAAGATGATAACAAGTGGCTTTTATTTGTATGCATGTCACTCATAATGGAGTATTTTTGTGAATTTTTATTCTCCTTTTCTGCTTTGTGATCTGGTGTAAAGTTGTGACTTTTGTTGTTGTTTACAGTAGTGAGGTAGTTGTTAGATTTTGAAGCACCCATCCTACTTACTTTTTTTTTTTTTTGCTGTGAAGAGACACAAGGACCACAGCTCTTATAAAGGAAAACATTTTTTAATTGGAGCTGGCTTACACTTCAGAGGTTTAGTTCATTATTGGCATGGCAGGAAGCATGGCAGCATGCGGGCAGACATGGTGCTGGAGAGGGAGCTGAGAGTTCTATTTCTTGATCCACAGGAAGCAGGAAGTAACTGTCATACTAGATATGGCTTGAGCATTTGAGGCCTCAAAGCCCACCTGCTAGTGACTCACTTCCTCTAACAAAGCCACACCTACTCCAAGGTCACACATACTCCAAGGTCACATCTCCTATTAGCCCAGGTTAGCTTTGAACTTGCTACATAGCTGAGGTCAGCTTCCAGTTCCAGATCCTAGTGCCTCCAACTCCCACCTCCCCAAACACTGAACTTTAGGTGTGAGCCAGCATGCCTGGCTCCAGGGCTTCTTTTATTTAGAAATTTTAATTAGGTTCTGGAGAAAGGACTCAGCAGTCAAGAGTGCATAGTCCCCTGCAGCGGACCTGACTTCCCCTTCCAGCATCCTTCCAGCTCATAACTTCCTGGAATCACAGTTCTAGAACTTCTAAGATTAATTTATTTCCTGGGCCATGTATGTTTCCTTTATTTCCTAAGTCTTATGATCCTCCGTCCAGAAGAGAATATTTTAATTCAGATGAAGTTGCTACACAACATCGGGGATTGTCTTAAAGTGTCATAGCATAAGGAATTCCCTAAGCAGCCTTCTGACCTCTTTTCCAGTAGGAAGAAGAAAGGGCCGGTAAAGACAGGGAACTCACAGTCCGCTCTGGACAGCCAGGGCCAGTTTTGTTTAAATGCTACTAATTTCCTGTCTAAGACAGGTACGCAGCAGGTGAAAGGTCTGCCGAATAGCTTGCAAAGGTGACGATTTGTTGTTTGTCCATAGACCCCAGCTCTTTGAAGGAGCCTTTCTGTTGTCTTTCTGGGTTCAGAGGGCGGGTACTGCATGCAATTAGCGAATGAGAGACGCTGGAGCTGTGCAAATCATCCAATCCTGTGTCTGTATGAGGAGGAGTCCCGCCTTAAGCAGAGGTGCGGGCCGTTTTTTTTTTTTTTACACATCGCCATTATCCTAACCCAGTGTATGTAGCTCACAGACTCCAGGGACAAAACCTCTGCCGCGCTCTGAACCTGCTCAGGTCCTTGCTACTTTGAGGAGGCCCCGGGACAAGCTGTAAGCTGGAAATGGTAGGTGTCGGGTCGAGTGCCAGAGGCTGGGAGGACGGCATAGTCAGGTCATCAACGTCCTTAGGCCCCGCCTCCCCGAGGCTGCAGAGCCCTTAGTGCTGTCGCTGCGCGGGGCGGGGCTCTACACCGGTCCTTGTCCCGTTCTTCTCTCGGTGCTCCGGAGAGTGGAGGGAGACTACCGACTTCTGTGTGGGTTCTGCACGGAAGGATCCAGGCTCCCGCCCTCTGCATTCTGCTCAGATCGGGTTGTCCTGAAGTTGTTTAACATGTAAAGCAGGGACTCCTGCCCACAGCCCCATGTTCCCCGTATGGGTTTTCATAGATGTTTCAGTCTGTTTCTTTCTGGACTGAAGATTGTGGACTTGGATGAATGTCGTCTGCTTACGGCCTTGTTGCTGACGGCCCTGAGGTGGTACAGACCATAGCACTGCCCGAAAATGAACAGGGTGCAGGTTGATATGGGGAGAGTGCTCGAAAGGGTAAAAATAGAGCAGTTAGGCACCACTCCTGGGCATATGTCCGAAGGCAGGTGAAGTGGTTCGTAGAATACATGAGACGCGAAGGTAGGAAGTGGACTACGGGCAGTGAAGGCGCAGGAAAGAAAAGAGAGGCGGGAGAATCACAAAGACAGAGTATGCCATCACAATACCCACCATCACTCTTTGTACTAATTAAAAAAAGAATTCGTGCAGTTCAGGAGAGGGTCAATCGCACTAGAGGTAACCCATTAACTCATGTGTGGAATGAGCTCAGTAGTTCATTAATGAGGGTTGAGTTGAAATCCTCTTGAAGTTTTCACCTTGCCCCTCCTTTTGAAGAAAAAGCATTTCTGCTCTATTTATTCATTTAATGCTTGTGCTGGCTAATCTTATGTCAGCTGGAGGAACAAACCAGACTTATCTGCAAGGAGGGAACTTAAACTGAGAAAATGCCTCAGATCCAACCTCAAGGCATTTCTTAATTAGTGATCGGTGGAGGAGGGCCCAGCTGGGCTGCTGGTCCTGGGCTCTATAAGAAAGTAGCTGAGCAAGCCATGGAGAACAAGCCAGTGAGCAGCGCCCTCCATGGCCTCTGCATCAGCTCCTGCCTCCGGGACCCTGCCCTGTGTGAGTTCCTGTCCTGACTTTTCACTGATGAGCAGCAGTGTGGACGTGCAAGCCAAATAAACCCTTTCTCCTCCAACTGCTTTCTGGTCATGTGTTTTGTCCAAGCAATAGAAACCCTCAGTAAGACAGTCTGCATATGCATGTAGGCACGAGGCTGCCATGACAGATGTGGAGGTCAGAGGACGACTTGCAGATGTTGGTTCTTCCATCTTGTAAGTCTGAGGGATTGAACCTGGGTCTTCCGGTTTGGCAGGAGGGGCTTTGTGTCCAGTGAGCCTTTTTGTTTGTTACCTCGTCCACCCTCCGGAAGAACAGTCAGTACTCTTGGCTGCTGGGCCGTCTCTCCTGCCCCAACTACAGATGTCTCATCACAACGTCTTTAGGTTGAGAGTCTGTCTTGAAAATTTTATCTTCTGATATATCCTCAATGTAACTTCCTGTTCTTTTTCTGCCCCTGGGTTTTAGAATTGTCAAACAATGGTGACCTAAGATGCCCACAGTGCCAAGTTTTTTTGGAGCGAATATTAGTGGATATTAGGGTAGAGATACAGGGTCTTTCAGGGGTTCAGCAGATGCACTGGAACTGGGAAAAATCTTATACATCCTTGTGACCTTACAGTTCCCTTCTCCCAACAGATTTTTTTTAGGTGGTCCAATAGTTAGACTCCAGTATTGAGAAGACAGGTAGGAATGATTCTGCCTTCTAAGTTCTTTCAGACTAGTTAAGGGAGAAAAACAATCTCAGAGGACAAGAAAATTGACCACATCAAAGGGAATGCCAGACGCTGGCCAGCCCAGTTTATATTGGGCACGTGGGACACAAACAGGAGTGTGCAGCCTTTAGACATTGTAGCATGATGTTGTCATCTGTCCAGTTCATTTTGTAGAACTGCACAATCCCGCAGCAATAAAAACTCCATGTTTTAGATACGTTTTCTATCTTGTGTTATAGTCAGAGCTCTCCTTGGTTGCACATGGTCATATGTGGCCTGGGAGACCCAGGTTGGATGCCTGATAGTGATGGACGTTGAATATTGCAGTGAACAGGATGTGTGGGATCAGGAACTTCTCCCAAAACCCTAGTCAGACTGGGCTTGATGGCACATGCCTGTGATCTCAGCGTGTGGGAGGCAGAGGCAGAACCCTGGGAAGGTCAGCACTAGTCCATCACTATCAGGCATCCAACCTGGGTCTCCCAGGCCACATATTAAAATTATTATTTTTAATGTGCACGAATGTTTTGGCAGTGTGTTTGGCTGATGCCCTTGGAGGCTAGACCATGGCATTGTAGTTCCTAGAACTGGAGGTACAAATGGTTATGAATTGCTATATAGATTCTGGGAATTGAACCTGAGTTTTCTGGAAGAGCAACCAGTGTTCCTAACCACTGAGCCATCATTCCAGTGCTGCCTATTGTTAATAATTTGTAATGAATTAATTAATTGAGACAGGGTTTCTCAACTGTGAGTCGTGACCTCTTTTGGGGGTTGAATGACCCTTTCACAGGAGTCAGCTAAGATCATCAGAAAACACAGGTATTTACATTATGATTCATAATAGTAGCAAAATTACAGATATGAAGTAGCAATGAAAATAATTTTACGGTTGGGGTCATCACAGTGTCAGGAACTGTATTAAAGGGTTGCAGCATTAGGAAGGTTGAGAACCACTGCTCTGTGTAGCTCTAGTTACAATGGATTCCAATTATTACCAATTGTTAGGGTCTAGATTAGGTGTTTTAGGTTGTAGGCCTCTTACTCAAAGATTTAAAATAAAGGCTGACACACGGAATGCAAAAGTAGTAAGGTAACTTTACTCTAAGCAAAACCAGAGAACCATTTCATCACGTTGTCTAGAGGGACAGCAAGCCACCCGAATAAAAAGTACCTAAAAGTTTGGGACTTGGTGGTGGTGGGGGAAGCTGGAGAGATGGCTTAGAGCTTAAGAGCACTGACTGTTCTTCCAGATGTCCTGAGTTCAATTCCCAGCAACCACATGGTGACTCACAACCATCTATAGTGAGCTTTGGTCCCCTTTTCTGGCCTGCTGGCATGCATTCAGGCAGAACACTGTATACATAATAAATAAATCTTTTAAAAAAGTTTGGGACTTCCTTTTGTGCAGTTGAAGAGATGGAGGAGTTTGGTTGCAGATGACTGTGGTGAGGCTAGTTCCCGGTTTTGGTTGACAGGATTAGGTGGGGTGGGCCTTTGTCCACTGTGAATGTCTCTTCTCATGGTGCATCTTATTTTAATCATATGCACACCCAGTTGTCCATAGGAAGAATATGGCAAGTAGGGGATTCCCCCTAAAACTTCACTCAGAGGACACAGTTTGCCTTCCTGCACGTGCACCCAAAATCAGTCTAGGCCTGATTGGACCCGAGGTTCTTGGATATAGTCCAGGGTGTGTTTGAATGGAAATGGCCATTGAGGATTGCTGAAGGGCAAAACTTGTTCCCATCTTTTAAAGCAGGTGCCTGTGTATCTCAATGTAGATAGGAGCCCCAGGCTAGCAGGTTGTTCAGTATGTTGTTTGAGATGTGTAGAGTATGTACAGGCAATGAGCTCAGGCTGTCATATTCATTATTAGAGCAAGTGTGTATACACCGTGAGTCCCAGGTTGCTAAACTATACCCATGCTTGCCTGCCTCAGGATGACCTTGTGATCTTTCTGCCTTTGCCTCCAGAGTGCTAGCATTACAAGTACACACAACCATGAGAAGTCTTTAAAATGATTGGCACCTTTGTTGTCTAGAGGAAATAGCTACTTGTGCTTTGCATTTATTATTTATTTGTTTGTTTTGGGGGAGGTTGAGACAGGGTTTCTCTGTATTGTTTTGGAGGTTGTCCTGGAACTCGCTCTGTAGACCAGGCTGGCCTCGGACTCACAGAGATAGGCCTGCCTCTGCTGGGATTAAAGGCGTGTGCTACCAACACCCGACTTACTCTTTTGAGAGGGTTTTTCTGTGGAGCCAAGGCTCGTCTAGAATTTGATTTCTGGACCAACTTGCCCTAGGTCTTGTGGCAGCTGTCCTGTTTCTGCTTCCTGAGCGCTAGTGTTATAGCAGTTTGCTACCATGCCTAGCTGGTTACTTGTTAAGCAACAATTTCTGTTTGTCTTACAATTTGTCTACTCCCATATATATATAATCTGAGATTCAGTCTTACTGAAATCTTCAAACACGAGATATTTTCTCTCTTTAAGTAATTGTCTAGGTCTGAGGAAATGACTCTGTGGGGAAATTGCTAGCTATGTGATGCAAGCACACCCTCAGGTTACCGAGGGGAGGAAATACACAAAAGTTCCACTTGACTATTATTGTATTTATTCACACATCACATGTCTCACATCAACTGTATTTCTAACCAACCAGCATAAGCAAAATAATCTTCTAGCAAATAAGCAAAAGGATCCTAGGGGCCATATAATATACCATGACCAGATGAGTGTGATGTAGGTACCAGCATTCAGGTTCGGGTTTCACATCTTCTTGTTCCTCTTGATTTGCTTGCACAGCAAAGTGTAGTGGCCAACTGGACACCAGGGCTCCGGCTCATATACGGACAGTCACTGCTCCGTTTTGGTCTGGCATGGGGTCGCTCGGTTGGTTGGTGGAGGAGAGTCTGCTTCGTGGCTCGGACAGCGTCTCACGCTTGGCGCATCTCAGTGCTCTGCTCTGGTATCCTCCTTTGTGGTTTTTATGTTTCCTCTGAGCTTTCCTCTATGCTTATCTATCAGCTGCACACGCATCCACCTATCACTCTGTTGCCTTCCAAGTGCATCTCTCCCTCCAGACTGTTTACAGCTTCGTTTTCACAGTCTGTTTACATGCTCCTTACACCATGCAAGTGTTAGGACTTATGTTCGAATCCCCAGAACTCGTGTAAACACCAGATGTGGTAGTACACACCTGCAATCCCAGTGTGCCCGTGGTGAGATGAGAGGTGGAGACAGGAGAATCCTCTGAAACTGTTGGGCCAGCTAATGTGGCATGCACAGCAGTGATCAACAGAGACCTCCCGTCAAACAAAGTGGAAGGTGAAATCTGAGGTCATTTTCTGACACACAGAGAAAGTGGGCCAGTGAGATGCTAGTGGGCAAAGGTGCTTGGAGACAAGCTTGATGACTTAATGAGTTTGGTTCCTGGGATCCACATGATAGAAGGAGAGAACCGATTTCCCCCACAAAGTCCTCTGACGTGTGTCTGTCCCTGCCCTGTGCACCCCTGCCCACATTCGATAGTTAAATAAGGGCAGAAGAAGGAAAGTAACTGACTGTTCTTAACTGGGGATTCGAAATTTGTCCCCAGTGAAGAGCAATATTAAATCAGCAAAGAAAGTTCATGGAAGACCTTTGTTTCCTCTTGGGACCCCATTCTGGGGATGTCTGTGCTTTCTCACAGGAAGATGAGCCCTTGGTAATGAGACACTGGAGAGTTGGGATTCATATACAAATGTCCGTAGTTTGGAATCCAAGGGAGAAGTGATTATTTTTCTGAAGTCAGAGTTGTTATTCTAAGTTCTCTGCCCTCCTCTTCTTCCTCTTCATTTTCTGTAAAATGTCTGTTTTTATTCATGTGTGCATGTGTGGGTATGTGCACAAGGATGCAGGTGCTGAGAACTGAACTTTGGTCCTGGAAGAGCAGAAAGATCTTAATCATTGGAGTTCTTTCTCCAGCCCAAATACTTTGGTTTTGTTTTGTTTTTAAATGAGGACTGAGGTCGGGCCTGACTTTATCTGAACACATTGAAATAGCAGTCTGCAAGGTCTTTAGCCCTGGCGTGTCAAGGCTTAGGCCTTTACTTTCTAGGAAAGACCAAGGAAAGGAGGCAAAATCAGACCCTAGACTAGAGAGTATTATCCTTTGAGACCAGCCCATCTCAGGCTGCCAGTAAAGCGGGAGCTGTGTGCTGCTGGCTCAGGCAGATCATGGCTCAAAACCCTAGGTTCAGAAGGAGAGGCTTTAAGGAAAGTCTCCTTAGGTCGGTCCCCAAGCCTGGTGTGTTGGGGCACACTTGTAATCTGAGGCAGGAGCTATGTCACAAGGTAAACCTGCATTAGACATTTCTCCAGGCCAGTCTGTTTACCTGTATCACCCTCTGATTCCTTCTACAAAAGTGTGATCTGCTACTAATCAGTTTAACTATTCATATTTTTTAGGCAAAAATTGGTAATGTGGAAAGTGTGTGTCTGACCTGGTCTTAGGTTTGAAAAAGAGACATCATCTTAAGAGGCAGGGCCTTTGGTTGTACTAGGCTGTTTCTTGGGAATAGAAATAGAAATAGGGTGAGAGTTTATAAGAATTATAAGACTTAAGTAGTATTCAGCATCTCCAACTGTTTAATGTCAAATATGGTGAGGTGACCAGTTAGAATATAATTTGTGGGCACTGTGGGCCTGTGATGGTATGACTCAGTTGACAGATTACTTGCCTAGCATGTGTGACGCCCTGGGTTGGATGAGCTGTACCACATAGAATCCCTGGGTGTGATGCTGCTCACCTGTCATGCCAGTCCTCTGGAGGTGGGATTTGGGAAGGTCAGAAGTTCAAGAACTACCTAGCAGGTTTGAGGCTGCTGTGGTGAACACACACCGCCAAGCCTGATGACCCGAGTTAACCCCTGGATACCCACGTGGTGGGAGGCAAGAACCAACTCCAAGTTGTACTGTGACCTCCCCCATGTTTGTGTCACATGCTCCCACTCTGTCCAAATCAACAAATAAATGATGCAACTCCCTCCACTACCTGTGGAGGGTAGTCTGGGAGATACCTTCGAGAAGCTATTGCAGGTAAGAGTTTGGTGCTGTTTGAAGTATATGATAAAATTTATGAGAGTGGCCTGTGTCCTTGATTCAGCCACAGAGAACTTAAAACCCTTAGGATTTCTGGAGCAGTAGGAGTATCTGATAATTTATCCTAAGCTCCTTTCATATAATATCTGAATTCATGCTAATGAGGTCATTCACTGCCATCAGTCTATAATGTCTGGAAAAATAATTGGGGCATAGAAGAACACACGGATGCTTTGGCTTGGCATCTGTAGTAGAGACGTGTGTTGGCACTGAGCCCTCAATCTTTCAGGATTTGGCTAACACTGGGTTGAGTCAGGATTGAATTGTGGTACACCTAGGCAGTATTTGAATGCTGATTGGTGTCCAGCAGACACCAGACATTTTGTTCACAAGTGATGCTAGCTAGCAAAAGGCACCGTGAGTTAGGACTTTCAACTGACTCCTTTCCTGTTGCTGTGATAAAAAATACATACCCTGAAAATGCAGCTTAAAGGGGAAAGGCTTTTTGTTTTTAAGAAAGCCATCATAAATGTAGAGCAGAAGTCCACTCTGTCACATGAATATGGAAAGACGTATACTAGAGTTCATATGCCACAGTTCCCTTGGGATCGAACCTGTAGCTTCACACATGATGCAAGTGCTTCACTGAGATACATCCCCAGGCCCAAAGAGTTTTCCTTTGTTTGACTAGATAAAGGTTTGTTTTGATTTCCCAACAGTCAGCTTTGGGAAATAATTTTATGAATGTAAGAGATGACTTTAGGAACTGTGAGCTCTTGCTAACAATATTCTCATTATTTCCTGGGTCCTTTGACATTTCCAGTAAGAGCTGGAATGTTTTCCTATTTACATAGAGAATGCTCATTCATAAGTCTTTTTTAGTATTTAATACAGGGTTGACAGTTGAGCTAAAGCATTCCCAGAGCACGCCCTTGTTTTCCTTCATTCAGAATTGCCTCAAAAAATATTAAGCATTCTCTTTCTGAGCAGATTTTTAGGGATTCATCATCTGGAGTGTATTTTGTCATCAGGTAGGCTCCTTCTGATAGGTATGTCAAAAACTTGAAAATATCTAGAGAGAAAACATCAGCTGAAGTATATTGTCAGCCTGAGCTGGAGTAGCAGGCTGCTCTGCCCAGGCCCATCCGGTCCATTCCAGTAGCAGGTACCAGATCCTGCGAAAGGCTTGAATTGGTTCTCGGGGATGTCTAAGAAGGCTGATGAGATGGTTCAGTGGGTGAAGCACCAGCCTCCAAGTGGGCTGACTCACACCGTGGAAAGAGAACCAGTTTCCGGACCTTTATATAAACACCTTAGCATATGTGCCCCAACCCCCAGAGTAAACCAATAGAGAAACAGGGTCTTTTGTTTGTTTGTTTCTCTGTGCAGCCCTGGCTGTCCTGAAACTTGTTCTGTAGCTCAGACTATAGAAATCCACCTGTCTCTGCCTCCAAGTGCTGGGATTAAAGGTGTATGCCACCACCACCCAGCACACATAAGTATTTTTAAAAAAAGAATCAACACAGCAGGCTCCGTTTACCTCCATTATCAGGTTATCTAGCAATATAGTGGGCGATCCAATTTGTCCATGTCTGTCACATCTAATGTGAGAATTTCTGTGTGGAGATTGCCAACATCATGGGACTTAGGATCTGACTTTCGATCAGCAATGTTGTGACTTACCCTTCTCTTGGAAATATGTGGCATGTTTTAGGATTCTGTGACCTTTGAGGACGTGACTGTAAAGTTCAGTGTGGAAGAGTGGACACTGCTGAGTCCTTCTCAGAAGGAGCTCTACAGAGATGTGATGCAGGAGACCTTCAGGAACCTGGCTTCCATAGGTAAGAGCGGGGTCACCCTATGATGTAATCACGCATGTCCTGCTCATCAGTGAACACCCATCTGATGTGGGATATACAAGGAAATTTTGTGTTATATCATGAAATTATCTAGAATTTCACACTTTTGTATAACACCAAAGTAAGTCCGTTATTTTTCTGGGCTTTCATTTAGGAATGGAACCAGAAGACCAGAACTTTGAAAATGACTACAGAAGCTCCCAGAGAAATCCAAAGTGAGTTGTCCTCAAAAAATAAATCAATAGCCTTCTTTGAATGAGAGGGTATTTTAAAAACAAACCAAATTATATAGATAGTCCAAAGCCCAATTAATAGAACTTCAGAAAATGTCTCATTGGTTGGCTAGCTGTATTTAGAAAATCCCTAAGTTGAGCATATTCTTGTAGTTTAGATGTCCATATTGTCAAAATGTTGCTTTAAGGGATAACTGTTACTATTCTCTTTTTAAAGGTTTATTTTAATATATATGTATGTATATATCATATGTATGTATGTATGTATATATGGATATGTTCACATGACTGCAGGTGTCCACAGAGGCCAGAAGTGTCCGATCTCCCTGGATCTAGAGCTACAGGTGGTTGTGAGCAGTCTGACATGGATACTATGAGCTGAACTCAGTTTCTATGGAAGAGCAATATATGTTTTCTACTCCTGAGCTTTGATTATGACCCCCAGCTTGGCCTTAGCCTCCTGGTCCTCCAGCCTTAACTCCCAAGTATTGGGGTCATAGGCTTGCCCTGCCACTGAGGCACAGATTGATATTGTGTCTTGAAAGACCTATGCGCCTTAAAAAAAAAGACAAAAATCAATACAAAAGGAAAAAGCAAAGCTCTCTAGGAATACCACTGTTGATAATAACAACTTGAAGCCATACTGTACAATTTCATCTATTTATGCTTAAAGCTTCTTAGTGTATAAATGTGATATTTTATTGGAAAATAATAATAAAACCTTATTTTTTTCAGAAGTCAAAAGGGACAAGGTCTGTGCGAACATAATGAAGATGGTCAATGTGTAGAAAACAGCTGGATTTTAGATCTTGCTGTATATAAAGATACAGTCCTCAATGGCCATTCATCCTTAAATGTGCCTTTCACAGTTCAAAATGGGCACACACCGTGTGGATATCAGAAGTGTACAAGGCATCCATATGAATGTAAGGAGTGTAGAAACAACTCTAGCTTTCCCCAGTGCCTTCTGATGCATGCCAGATCTCAAACTGAAGAAAAGCCTTATGAAAGTGAGAAATGCGGAAAAACTTTTAGTGTTAATTCCTTCCAGATCCATGAAAGAATCCATGCTTCAAAGAAAGCAGCTGTGTGCAAACAGTATAGGAAAGAATCCAGGAACGATGCGGATATCAAAAGACAAATGATAGCACACAAGGATGATGGCCCATGTAAGCGTAAGAAATGTACTGAGGACATTCCTTATTCAACTTCACTTTTTATGCATTCAAGTTCTCATATTGGAGAGCGGCTGTACGTATGTAAACAATGTGGTAAGGACTTCCCCAACCCTGCTTGTCTTAAATGCCGTGAGAAGATGCACTATGAAGAGAGACCATATGCTTGTAAGTACTGTGAGAAAACATTTACTCGTTCTGGTTCCTTGAGGTGTCACGAAAGGATTCATACTGGAGAGAAACCATACGCGTGTAAACAATGTCGGAAAGCCTTCACTACACACACTTCCCTCCGATGCCATGAGAAGATTCACACTGGAGAAAAACCTTATGAATGCAAGCAATGTGGAAAGTCTTTCATGTTGTACAGATATTTGCAAAGACATGAACGAATTCACAGTGGACAGAAACCCTATGAATGTAAGCAATGTGGTAAAGCCTTTTATGTTCACAGCATTCTTCGATATCATGAAAGGATCCACAGTGGAGAGAAACCCTATGATTGTAAGCATTGTGGGAAAGCCTTCACTCATTCCAATTACTTGAGATGCCATGAAAGGATTCACAGTGAAGAAAAGCCCTATGTCTGTAAACAATGTGGAAAGGCCTTCACTACACACAATTCCCTTCATCACCATGAGAGGACTCACATTGGAGAGAAACCCTATGTATGTAAGCAGTGTGGAAAAGCCTTCAGAACACAGAATTCCCTTTATCATCATGAAAGGACCCACACTGGAGAGAAACCCTATGAATGCAAACAGTGTGGGAAAGCCTTCACCTTGTGCAGGTCCTTACAAAGACACGAACGAATTCATAGTGGGGAGAAATCCTATGGATGTAAGCACTGTGGTAAACTCTTTTCATGTTTGAGTGAGGTTCAAAGGCATGAACAGACTCACACTGGAATAAAGTCTTACATATGTAAACAATGTGGGAAAGCCTTCTCTAAAAATAGTTACCTTCAATACCATGAAAAAATTCACAGAGGAGAGAAACCCTGTGTATGTAAGCAGTGTGGAAAAGTGTTCACTTTTTATAGTTCTCTTCAGCGCCATGAAAGAACTCACAATGGAGAGAAACCTTATGTATGTAAGCCATGTGGGAAAGCATTTACTTTTTCTAGTTCCCTTCAACGTCACCAAAGGATTCACAGTGGAGAGAAACCATATGTATGTAGGCACTGTGGGAAAGCCTTCCCTGCTTTGAATCAGGTTCAGAGACATGAGCAAACACACAGTACAGTTAAACCCTTTGCATGTAATCAGTGTGGTAAAGCCTTTACTCTCCATAGTTCCCTTCGGGACCATGAGAGGGTCCATAGTGGAGAGAAACCGTATGTATGCAAGCAATGTGGTAAAGCCTTCACCTATCACAGTTCCCTTTGGTACCATGAAAAGATTCACAGTGGAGAGAAACCTTATAGATGTAAGCAATGTGAGAAAGCATTCTTTCAGTGCAGTTCCTTGCAAAGACATGAACGAATTCACTCTGGAGTGAAGCCCTAACCCTGACCTAAGTTATGGAGGCTTGCTCCAAGCCCAGTAAGGCCCGGTGATATGTGTCCCATTTAGATGCCTTGCAAAGAGGGCAATCTGTAGCACATTTAACAGGTAGCACCTCCTTTTATGAAAGGGGGTCCCGAGAGGCCTCCTTTCATTGTTGTGGAGCTGTGAAGGTGAGCCCCACGTTACAGCAGAGATTCTAGGAGATGCCCTGGCCTGATGAGGAGGCAGGGAGTTGAACCAGTCTAGTGCTGTGGGTGCTGTGGGGCACAGAGATGGAGGAGTGGATTTAGACAAGGCTGATGGAGCGCAGATGATATCAATAACTCCAGACGCTGACAGAGACCTTCAGGGCTTCTGGGCTTTGGCTTTGCTTTTACCTGCTATATTTTCAGTTCTCCATTTTGGAATGGAGATGTTTATTATATATCATTGGATATTGAGCTTTGTAACTTTTTTCTATTATTTTCTAAGGGTTCAGAGTTCTAAGATTGCCTTGAGTCTAAGAAAAAAAAATCCAAAACTTTGGACTTTGACCTATTAAGCAGCATTTAAAGTACTAAGACTGTGGTGATTTTTGAAAATGAAATGGATTATTTTTGCTTTATGAGATGGCCACAAGCCTTTGAGGGCCAGGAATAGACCAGTACGATTAAAAAGAAGCCTCTGGGCATCGGCTTCACAAGAGGGAGACTTGATGATAGCTAATTTTTATTGCCAGTCTGGCTGGATTTATGATCACCTAAAGGAAAAACACTGGTGGCACATCCAGAGAAATCTAACTGATGAGGGAGACCCACTTCGGATTTCATCAATTGTGTCATCTCATGGCTTGGGGCCCGGACTGAATACAAATCGAGAAAGGTGAAAACTTAGAGACCACCAGCATTTGCCTCCTAGCCCACCACCATCCCTTCCTTGCTAAAATGAACCATTTTTCTTAACACTGAGATAAAATAAGCATTTGTGTAAGTTGTTTTTGTCTGGTATCCAAGAAAAGTAATTTCTACACCTTGTGAATACCATCAATATGGGCAAACTGTTCCTAATCATAGTTTTCTTCATCATGAAATGATTTGTTCATGGTCTAAAGAAACCACCTCTATTATGCAAAAACTATACAAGAAGGCCTTCTAGCCTTTGAATTTGTTTGATTAAACTCACGCTGGAGAAAATCATGTGGGCACAAGGCATATCTGTCTTGCTGTGATTTCTTTAAATTATGTATAAACAGCCACACTTGAAGGTATCCTTCAGTGTAGAGTGTGGGACGGTCCCATTCTTACGAGTTCACTCTAGCAAACTTGACAATGGTCAACTAGGAAAACGTGTATTAGTGTAACCTGTGGAGGGACATCTCTATTTATCTCAATTCAGAAATTTGAAAGAATAGGTCTGGTGGGACGGGTCAGTGAGGAAAGGTCTTTGCTGCCAAGCTCAATGACATGGGTTGATTCTTAGGGAGAGAACCAACTCTTGCAAGTTGCCCTCTGACCTCCACACATACAGTGTGGCATGCACATCCCTCCCCTTTCCGCATACCTTTAAAATAGCACGCTATGATTGGGAGCTGTGCACTAGAATACTGTAACAGCAGTCTTCAACCGGTCCACATGTTTGCATACATGCTGGATCAAATTCTTTTGGGAATGGGACGAAGAAAACTTCGTTATAATAAATGGTTTCAAAATCCTGTGGCGTTTCTTCATGCAGTCCACTCCTAGAAACAAACAATATAAAACTGATGCAGAATAATTTGTGTAGAATTTTCCAGAAACTAGAAAACCTGATGGAAATGTTCTGAGGGTTATAAATGTGTCTATTCAGTTGCTGGCTGTTGACTCCCATTTATTCATCGTTTATTTTTAAAAACAATTTAAAAACTTCATATCTGTGCGTGTTTTGCCTGCATGTGTGTCTGTGTACACATGCAGTGCCCTTGGAGGCTAAAAGAAGGCGTGCTGTCTCCTGCAACTGGAGTTACAGATGGTTTCAGGCACCATGTGGGTGCTGGCAATGGAGCTCTGGTCCTCTGTAAAAGCAGCAAATGCCATTGAGCCATCTCTCCAGCCTCTAAAAAATAAAAAAGAATTTTAAGGCTGATGAAGTGGCCTGCTGCCTGGTAACCTGATTTGGGTCCCCGTGACTCACATGGTGAGAGGAGGACAAACCTCCACTGTAATGCCATGACACCAGAATGCATGCATACACACGTGAAATATAGAAATGTAATTTCTTTTTCTAAATTTAAGGACTCCGTCTTTTGTTGCTTTGTTTTGTTTGGGTTTTTTTGAAGCAGGGTTTTTCTCTGTAGCTCTGGCTGACCTGGAATTTACTCTGTAAACTAGCCTGGCCTCTGCCTTGCAAATGTGGCATTCAAGCTGTGTACTACCACTACCTGACTTTGTAACTCAGAAGTAGATCTCTGGACAATGTATTTTTACATACATTCCTGAAAGTATATACTGAAGTAAAATAATTAAGGTTAATTATGGACTTAGTTGGTAGTATATTCTGTTATTTGTATATTTGCTGATTTAAAAATGTATTTGTGTGTGTGTGAACATGTGTGGCGGTGCCAGCGGAAGCAAAAAGGGCACTGGAGTCACAGGTGTGTGTGCGCCACCGTTTGTGGGCGCTGTACTCTAAACTCTGGTTCTCACAATTGAGCAGCAAGTGTTGTTAACCGATAGATAGCCCATCTCTCCATCCCTTTTTATTTACTTTTGGAACAGTGTCCTGCTATGTAGTCTGGATTGGACTGAAACTTACTGTAACCCAGGCTGCCCTTTAATTCGTGATCATCCTCCTCCCTCAGTGTCCTGGGGGTAGTGGAGAGAGAGAGAGAGACATAGAGAGAGAGAGAAAGAGAGAGAGAGAGAGACAGAGAGAGAGAGGGAGGGAGGGAGGGAGGGAGGGAGGGAGGGAGGGAGAGAGAGAGAGAGAGAGAGAGAGAGAGAGAGAGAGAGAGAGAGAGAGAGAGAGAGAGAGAGAGAGAGAAGTGAATTTTATTGACAGCATTCAAGAGAGTACGATCCCTAAGCCCCTCCCACTACTCTGGGGTCTGGGATGGAACGAGTGAAGGAGATGCTCTACGTCGAGGCTGAGTTGGGACAGGGACTGCTCAGCAGCCAAGAGGACATCAAATGTAGTAACACTAGTTTTCTATGTTTGTTCTGTTACTTACTTGGCTTTCTTTTGAGACAGGACAGACTTTCTTCCAGTTGGGACATTCCATGTGTGCACTACTGTGTCTGTGTCTACATGTGTTTTAAATTATGTTGAATTCATGAGTGAATTGAGGCGTCTACTCAGTGTTCTGCTAGTCTTGATTTCTATGCAGCTTTCAGGTAATTGTGATTAACGGATCATTTTAAAATGAGTTTTTTATGGGGCTGGTGAGATGAATCAGTGGTTGAGTGCACTAGCTGCTTTCCCAGATGACCTAAGTTTGATTTCCAGCACTCTTTTTGGCTAGCTCACAACTGTCAGGTCCAGGGGATGAGATGCCTTCTTGGGGACTATGTGGACACCCACAAGCATGCATATGTATAAATAATAAATTAAAAAAGATTTACTTGTTATTTTTATGTATATGGGTTTCTTGCCTGCATGCCGATAGGGTCTAGAAGATGGTGTTGGATTGCCTGAGAGCAGAGTTGCAGGTAGTTGGAGTCACCAGTATATGGGTGCTGGGAACCGAACCTGGGTCCTCTGTAAGAGCAGCCAGTGTTCGTAACTGCTGAGCCATCTCTTCAGCCCCTGAAAATACTAACCTTTAGAAAATGTTTAAGTTGGATTTGTTGCATGCATAATTATACCACTGGAGTTGGAGGCACGTTAGGAATTCAAACCACTTTTGGCTACATCAAAAATAAAAGCAGTTTTTGTTAATTGTTGAGACTTTATTACTGGGTTCATGTGACCCCCCCACATACACACACATTCTCTCTCTCCCTACCCCCTCTCTCTTTTCTTCTTGGATTATAATGGAATTACATCATTGCCCCTTTCCCTTTCCTCCCTCCAAACTCTCCATTCTTTCAAATTCATGGCCTCTCTTGTTTCACTGATCAATCAGTGTTATATGCATACATGAGTAAACATATTTTTCCAAAATATAATCTGCTCAGTCTGTATAATGTTACTTGTATATTTGTTTTTCAGGGCTGACCATTTGGTATTGGATAACCAATTTGTGTGCTTTCCTCCGGGGCAAACCATTTTTTCCACCTGGGGCATACCTTATTTTCCTGTAGTTATCTGTGTAGGGTTGAGGTCTCATGGTCTTTTTCTTGTTCATTTTGCCCTGTCTATTGTCATTGTCCAGATTATGCTTAGGCAGCCATGTTGTTGATACTTTATGGGTGTAGCTTCTAACATTACTAGGAGACACAGTCTGCCAGCAAACTCCCTGATCTTCTGGCTCGTACAGTGTCTCTGCCTCCTCTTCTGAGGTGTTCCCTCAGCCTCAGGTACAGGGGTGTTTTGTAGATGTGTTCACTGGGACTGGGCCTCTACAATTCTGCATCTTGATTTGGTTATGGTTTTCTGTAATGGTCTATGTTACAAAGAAACCTTCCTTGATGAGAGGTGAGGACCACATCTATGGGTATATTTAAAGTATAATTAGCAACTCTACTGGCTTTGTAAAGTGGTATTTACTGCTTTTTCTCAGTGAAATATTTTTGGATAATTATTTTTCACATTTATGTTTATTCTCTGTGTGTGTGTGTGTGTGTGTGTGTGTCTGTGTGTGTGTGTGTGTCTGTGTGTGTGTGGTGTGTGTGTGTGTGTGTGTGTGTGTGTGTGTGTGTACCACAGTGGATATGTAGAGCTTGGAGGACAACTTTTGGGGTTTGTTTCTCATCTCCCATTGTTTGAGAAAGGGTGTTCCAGTTTCTACCACTGAGCACAGGTGGCCTGCAAACTTCCCAGGGGTGCTTCGATCCCAACCCCCATCTCACTGTATAGTGCTGGGAATACAGACGAACAGGTTCACCCTACCCCGTCAAACATTTTGGGTAGGTTCCACGCATCTGAACTCAGGCTGTCAGGCTTGCATTGCTGCTTTGTGTTAATCAAGCAGGTCTGAGCATGGCTGAAACACTGGCCCGGACTCCACTGTATAAAACTTACATTCCCTTTCCTAGGAGTATCTATTGCAAATAGCTTCTTGGTTAGGAGTGAGACTTTGTGCCCGTTTCTCCCTCTCCATGCTGGGCTTTTGTCTGGCTTGAACCTGCACAGCTCTTGTACAGTCTGTCACAGTCTTTGTGAGTTCATATGTACATCAGCCCTGTCCTGTCTGGAAGATGCTGTTTTCTAGGAATCACCCACCACCTCTGGCTCTTAGGATCTTTTTGCCTCCTCTTCCAAATAGATCCCCGAGCCATGAGGAAGATTATGGCATCCCACTTGTGGGTGACTTCTCCAAAGTCTCTCACTGTCTGCACATTGTTCAGTGGTGGTCTCTGAAAAAAAAAACAACTACAAAATTTTGCTTTTATTCCCACTTCCAGACCAAGAGATTTGCTGCCTCATGGCACATGGAAATGTAACTCCATCTTAAAATGGGATCTCGTTTCCTAATTTAGGAAAACATTTTATACCAGCCTCCATATTTTTGTTGCAGGACCCTCAGCTATGAGAAAGATGTATGTGCCTTTGGGATCCTCCTACACTGCAACACATGATCAAGGCTATCATTAAGTACTAAGAGAAATACAGCTCCAAGCCTGTGGCTACATTTTGGGGACCACTTCCACACATAAACAGAGCAAATTAAATTACAAGGCCACGTGTTAGTTACTTTTCACTTGCTGTGACAAAACACCATGGCCAAGATAATTTATAAAAAGAAAGCATTTAATTTGGAGCTCACAGTTGTATCCGTTGATAGAACCATCTGGGCAGGGAGTGTGGCAGCAGTCAGGCAGGCATGGCCCTGAAGCAGTAGCTGAGAACCTACATCCTAATTCATAAGCAAACAGGCAGAGAATGCTAATGAGGATGACACCAGCTTTTGAAACCTCAAAACCCGCCCCCAGTAGCACATTTTCTCCAACAAGGCCACACCTTCTAATCCTTCCCAAACAGTTCAACCAACTCAGGGCTAAGTATTCAAATGTATGAGCCTACAGTGCCAGTCTCATTCAGCCACTGCAGGCCACTCGAAGCTTTCTGGACTGGAACTTATCAAGTGTCCAACTCATGTCAAATTGCAAAGCCAGTCACTGTGTATTCATCTCGTTAGAGCTAAGACTGCTCTAGTCTGAGAAACACAATTGGTTTGTTCCTATGAGTCTCCTGGAGACATCCATCGTATCTTTCAGTGCAATGAAGACTCCCAGTCATTCAGTTCCAGGTGGTATTGCCTAAGGAATTTCAATCATTACCATTAACACCAACACCTGCGTCCTACCACTAAGGACCTCCTTGACCTAAAAGCAAATCACAGCCTTCAACTTCTTAAGATAACCCTTCCTCCAAGATAACCCTTCTTCAAGATTCTTATGTCCTATGGTCCTAAAACCCCACAATGTCAAACATGACCCTCTTGTCAGCTATAAAGCAATTCTAAAAGAAAATGATCCTTCATTCCTTATCAAAAATTTGACCTTGGTCATGTGTTGGGTGACGGGGAATATAAAGATGAAAAGGCAATAAAGCAAAGCAAAATCATCCGCTCG